GAACATGTAACAAAATTATGAAAGATTTTGAACGTTAATAGCTCAGCTGCCCCTGAACCAATTTCAATAATTTTATCACCATTCGATCAGAAATATGTCTACGCATCTGCCAAATTTAAGACTTTATCATTTTTCAATATGTAACTATTGAAAATTACACGAATGTGCAACTGTTGTTATGATAATTAAAATTATCACCGATTGCCTGCGAAAAGCGGTTTCCCTAACACAGATTTCAAAGTTGAATTCCAGCCGGTGTCACCAAACGGTGTTTATTCAATCACCGCGTGGTGAGTACTGGTGTTCTCCAGTACACAAAGAAAGGTTCCTCGCCAAGCAGCTATCAAGGCTGCCCTCAACCGCTGATCGGATTCAGTTCCAATCACCGTGTGTGGTGGTGTCCGGTCGTCGGCATCATCAACAGCAGCAGCAGCAATGCTTTCGGCGCGTGGTATTGAACAGTTGTTCTCCACTACGCAACGAAAGGCTGCCTGCAAGCAGCGAGCTGCAGCCCACATGAGACATCCTCTCTGGCTAATCCAAAGAACTCTTCCCTCCACGACCAGGTCAATCCTCATGCCGAGAAATGTTCGCAACTCGCCTATGTCCGTCATTTCGAACTCGCTTGCTAGGGACCGCTTCACCACTTCCACAGCCTTCAGTTGACGACCAACCACGAGCAAATCATCTACGTACAACACCAGGATGACTTGGTTGCACCCGGATCCCTTGAAGTAGAGGCACGGGTCGCCCAGGCTTCGCTTGAATCCCAATCCTTCGACGAACTTGTGGAATCTTGAATTCCAGGCTCGGGAAGCCTGTTTCAGGCCACACAACTATCGGTTGAGTCGGCACACCAGGTTCTTGCCTCGCACGAATCCTTCTGGCTGGGACATGTAAATCTCTTCCTCCAAATGCCCGTTCAAGAAGGCAGTTTTCACATCCATTTGGTGGACTGCCGTCCTCTGTTCGTTTGCAAGCGCCAATACAACGCGCACGGTGTCCAACCGCGCGACCGGAGAATAGGTCTCTGCGTAATCGAACCCAGCCTTCTGGCTGAATCCACGGGCCACGAGTCTGGCTTTGCAGCGATCTTCCCCGTCCCCTTCGTTGTGTTTTACCTTGAACAGCCACTTGCACGTGATAGGTACTCTTCCTTCGGGTAGCTTGACTAGCGTCCACGTTTGGTTCCGCTCAAGGGAGTCCATTTCCTCGTGGACGGCTGCTTCCCACTTGTCACAATCCGTCCTCTTCTTCATCTCCGCCAGCGAAGTTGGCAAGTTGTCCACGAAGCTCGTAGCATTCAACGCAAATCCCGTGTAGTTCATTTCGTATTCCTGATGCCATCCCGGCGGCTTCCGTGTCCTTCCGAATTGGCGCCCCGGCAATTCCGCTTCCTCTTGCTGTTGTTCTTCGGTAGGTTCTTCCTGGATCGTTCTGTCGATACAGCTATCAAACTCGTCTTCCTCAGCGCGTCCGTCCGAATCCTCAGCGGACCCGTCCGATTCTGCACCCGATGTATCCGAGTCCCCGTCTGGAACAACGGAAACTTCATCTTCAGCATCACTGTCTTCATCGGAATCGCTCCGACTCGAACGAATTGGAAACACATCAGAACCGCACTTCGGTTTCGCATCCCCTTCCGAGCTCGTTTTCCTTTCGTCCTCCACGAAGACAACGTCGCGCGCAATGACGATCTTCTTCTGCTTGGGATCCCATACTCGGTACCCGCAGGGAGCGCACCCCACGAATACTCCTCTCCAGGACTTCCCATCGAGCTTCTTCCTACGTTCCTTGGGAATGTGGACGTGAACGTCGGAACCGAATGCACGCAGACTACGAACGTTGGGTCGGCGACCCTCCCAAACTTCGTACGGTGTTTTACCTTGACCTATCGCACTAGCAGGGCTGCGATTCACCAGGAACGCCGCTGTCTCGATCGCAAGACCCCAGAACTGCTTCCCGATACCGCAGTCTTCGAGCATGGAACGAACCTTCTCCACGAGCGAACGGTTCATTCGCTCGCTCACGCCGGCTGTAGGGGACGGTGTACTTGATCTTGATCCACTTCTGCTTGTAGAACTGCCGGAACTCGCGACCGATATACTCGCCACCGTTATCGCAGCGCAACCGAGATATACACGTTACGAACTTCGCATTCACTAGTGCTACGTACTCGCGGAAGCTGTCCATCACTTCGTCCTTGGAGTTTATTAGCGAAACGACTCCAGTCATCCACGAAAGTGACGAAATACCATTCGCCATCGATGCTCACCGGCGTCACAGGGCATGCACACACGTCCGAATGGATAAGTTCAAGGACCCGCTTCGATTGCCGCTCCTCGCGCACGGAGAACGGTTTAAGATTTTGATTGCTGACGAGGCACGGTTCGCAAATGAATTCACGACCGGATTTCTTCACTTTCGCACACATCCCGCACATTTACCGCGACGCTCACCAACCATAATCACTTCCGAATCGCGTTCGACGCTCACGACGCCATTCGCGAACACAACTTTCAGTCCGGTAATTTCCATTTTTCGAACGGACAGCAAGTTCACTCGTGCTTCCGGAATGTATAGAACGTTTTTGAACGTAATTGAAATCGACTTACCATCCGCCACAGCAAATACATTCACCTCACCGTACTCTTTGGCGACGATGGACTCGCCTTCCTTTGCCACCTAAATGATCATCGGCTCCTTCATCGGCCGATGCTTTTCGAACAGCCGCCGATCGTTCGTCAGGTTCTCCGACGATCCTGAGTCGACAATCCAGCTCGTTTTTGGAAGACCACTACTGTCACTGCCGAGGAAACAAACATCATTTCCACCTTTTCCGAGGTGCGCACTGCTTTTTCTTCTGCACTTGACGAATTCCAATGACAGTTTTTCCTCCGACATTGTCTCCAGGGCGGTGACGACGGTCGCAAAACCTGGCCCTAACGGTAGCACACCACATCGATGTCCTCCAACTTCGCACCGGTAGACTTGTAGTTCCGGACAATCCGCTCGAACGTCAGGAAATGGTCCTGCAGACAGCCACCGGTGTGGCGAAGCAGCAGCAGCTTCTTTTGCAAGTGGAGGCGACTTGCAACGCTCTTTCGTTGAAAAATTCCTTCCAACGCCAACCACACGGCCCTCGGAGACTCCTTTTCCTGAACATGCTCCAACATGTTGTCGTTTATCCGCGAAATCAGCAGCGACTTGCAACGGCGGTCCTTTTTCGCCCGTTTTTCGGCTGCTTTGGCTTTCGCCTCCCGGACGGCAGCAGAATCCTCTTCCTTCACCTTCAACTCCTCGATCTCATCCACCTCCTGTTCGATACACTCCTGGAGCTCATGCTCCTGTAGGATAACCTGCATCCGAAACTTCCACTGCGGATAATTCGATCCGTCGAACTGAGGGACTCGAGCGTTTTCTACCTCGCGGTCCATTTTTCGCACCTATTTACTTTTTCCCACACTCGCGATCACTGGGCCTATAACCTCATAAGATAAGGCAGTGATATCAAAGATGAATACTAAGATGAATCTGTCGGAAGAAAAACTTTCTATTTTAGTGTCTTCTTTCACGGTCCCTTTCATCCAATGAGAACACACCGTATTCAAGGTAATTTTGTGGTTTTACTGCCCCTCGGAAGAGATGAAATTTGCGCTTATTTTTATCAAAACAATCACACCAAAATCAGAGATGTCCCATTTTGTAATTACTCGATTAACAACTAATCGATTATTTTTTGTTCGCTGTGCTGCAATTTTTCCACCAGAGAGAGTGCAGCACATGTTTGAAACGATCGGTGATGATCCTGTGGAGATGTTAATGCTTATATCGGCATGATCTAACCGATTATAAATAGTTTACTATTCGGTTCGTTAATCGATTAAACGATTGAAAATCGGACATCACTAGATGAATGTGAAACGTCATTTCAAATATAAGGCCGTTCATAAATAATGATACAATATGAAAGAGACCGGGTCTAATCACAAATTACGTCTCCATGGTAACTGAAATAAACACGAGTGTTCACCGGTTGGTGATATCGGAATAAAGACGCGAAACACGCGGAATTATGATAATGCAAAGGAAATAACTTCAAATAACTTTTGTTTTAATACAGAAGCAGATGAGACCTGTTCCTCTGCATATTTTGTCAAGGCGTTTGTGATTTGAATTGGAATATTCCATCGGATGCAACAATGTTAGTGAGGAGCGATCCTTTTTTGATGACCCCTCGAAAATAGTTTTAAAAATATTGGCATGAACATATTGATGGAAATATTGACGAAACTTCTGTCGTGTGGGGTGCACTTTACCATAATATAAATGAATTATTCCTAGGACTGACATTAGAACGACTACTGTTTTTATGCTCTATTTAAGCGGCTATGATTTAATAAAAAAAAAACTTGTATTTATCCCCAATGGTGAAATGTTACCCTTATTATTTATGTAAAATCCGACAAGATTGCTCAAGTCCACATTTAGGAAAGAGCTGCCAGTTCTGCTGTGATCGGTCAAAAGTTGTTGGTAAACAAAAAGTTGGAAGGGTTGTATACTAGATACGACCGCAGGGTTGGCGTTGGATAACGTCTGTTATGTGTTGTATTTAATTGTTTATATTATATTTTAGGAATATTCCTTAATAACTCTTTTGCGAAAGTTTGGTGGCCCTGAAAAGGGCCGTTTTGTTGGGCTGATGTTGTTGGGTTTGCTCTACTCTGTCGCCCTGGAAGAGATTTGGAATGATGTTGGTAGTTCGAAGACAGACAGTATCTCCCCTTCCAGCGTTCCCACACCCCAGTATAGCTCCCAAATTTAAGTGTAACTGTGATATTCTGGATAGAAATTGTCTTCAAAACTAACTCTTTGTCGAATTATTGGTGGCCCTGAAAAGGGCCGTTTTGGTTGTGGTTTTGGAATGATAGGCTGAATAAATGATTGTTTGAAAAATTTCAGTCGACAGTCAACGAACTGTTTGTGTCGTTCGTTGCATTATGTCTGGACGTGGAAAAGGAGGCAAAGTCAAGGGAAAGGCAAAGTCCCGTCCCGCGCTGGATTGCAGTTTCCAGTCGGTCGTATTCACCGTCTACTCCGAAAGGGCAACTATGCCGAGCGTGTTGGAGCCGGTGTTCCCGTCTACCTGGCTGCCGTGATGGAGTATCTGGCCGCTGAAGTTCTCGAGTTGGCAGGAAATGCCACTCGTGACAACAAGAAAACCCGAATTATCCCACGTCACCTGCAGTTGGCCATCCGCAACGATGAAGAGCTGAACAAACTTCTTTCCGGAGTGACCATCGCTCAGGGTGGTGTCCTGCCAAACATCCAGGCCGTCCTGTTGCCCAAGAAGACCGAAAAGAAGGCCTAAATTCGATCGAAGTTCCCACCCTTTAACAAAATCCGTCCTTTTCAGGACGACCAATTTGATGGTAAAGAGTTTCGTTTTCAAAACAGTTTCCTTCGTGGTGCGCAAGGAGTGATAAAATGAATCCATTAAAAACATGGTTGAATCTTTCTGTCATGCTCTCCCTAGTTAATTGATATCCTCATCGAGTAGGTTCGATGATGGTTGATTAGTGTAGGCGTGTCTTGAATTCCAAGAAATTAACCAGTGCAGCGTTATCATTCCATCCATATCTAAAATTAAACTATCGACTAAATTTTCAATAGCGCCCTAAAATATCCATCAGTACCGTTCCAACGACGCGTTCATATAGATAAGATTGGTAAATAGCAGATTTTTAGCGATGGGCCCAATCTTAGATCCATTTCCCCTACCTTGCAGAGCTGCGGTGGCCCTGGACTTATGGCCTACATTGATGCAGCGGAATGAAATCCATTAGCAAATTACGGTTGAGATTTCAGAAATGATCGTGGTGTGCGTCCAATTTGAAGTGTGGTGTGATTTCTGATAAGGTATTAGTACCTCTGGAAGTGAATTAACTACCTACGTGACATCGGTTTACTGGATCCCGGTAAATGTACCTTGCTCTTCGCTTTGGACGTGAACTGCTTGCCTTCAATAAATTGAGTGATTTGACTAGTAACTTCAAAAGAGGTTTTCCTCGGACCGCTGATTCTGAACTGTATTGTTCCTTCATTGCGCAACATTTACCGTTACCGTTGGGACTTCCGGTCTTCTTTGCTAAGCCAACCGGTTAATCGTATTGAAGCGATACTTCTAGATTATTATTACGCCTATACTGTGGCCCACAGTCTGTGGGCTCATAGAACAATAAAACCGAGCCTGGTTAGTAGGTGAACACAAAATACTAAAGTAGAACATTCTACCAACATATAGAGTCCAAGAGATTCCTTGAAAAAGGCACAATATATGCGACCGAAACTTCGGATGAAATCCAAACAGATATTTTGAGAGGAACCAGTCGATCACAATCCTCTTATTGAGTTTAACCGGTATTAACAGAGAAATGAGACGCGTTAACCACGAATCCTTGGGAATGATCCTGACACGCTTCATATGGATGACGAATCGTCCTCATCTCATCCTCAGAAAATGGTACCCATTATTTTAATCGGCATTCTTTTGAAAAATTCCCCTCACAAAAAGGCTTTTCATGTACTGCCAGAGGATAGGGGGAGAGGGGCAATTTAATTATTACTAAAATGGACGAAATTTACGATGTGCGCTTCCATCGTGCAAACTTTATTTTGATTGCCGAAGCATACACTCAAAAAATTTACCACATAGGTATCTAATGGATGAAAACCATGTGAATTTCACATAGCTAAAAATCCCACCACAAAATCACATGAATGTCAGGAGGCGGATGAAAGTCATGAAAAAAGTGTCGGAAAGGCATTAGAAAATTAATCGTTAAACTCTTTCTTGATAATGTTGTGGCCCTGAAAAGGGCCATTTTTCCAACGCGCTCGGCGTAGTTGCCCTTGCGGAGCATACGGTGAATACGACCGACTGAGAACTGCAGCAACTGGACATTCCATGACGGCGGCCCAGTATACCGGAGCACTGGCACCAACGCACTCGGCGTAGTTGCCCTTTCGCCCCCAGGCTCTGCTGCCGTTGCTCTGCTTCCGCTGCTCTGGTACTGCTGCTCTGCTGCTCTGCTGCTGGGTCGACGATCGGATAGACAATGATGGAACGGGCGACCTTGTTGGACGCTTATATAGTAGAACAGAAAATATCAGAGGTGTCAGATACTCGCATCTGATGTCTCGGTTGGAGAAAGTATAAGAATATAAAAAAATCAATCGATTTTCACCAGCTTTAGACAATGGTTTACTTTTAACCATTTTTCAATAGTTTACAGAATGAAATCAATAGTTTTGAAACATTCAGCAAATTGCTAGAAATATTTCCAATCGATTGATGCCATTATCTCGTAAATCTATCGAGAGACGGTTGAGTTATTATCGTTCAAAATCTTTTAATTTTTCGTAACGCATCCAAAATGACTGTTTTCAATTTTGTACCCCCGTATGTTGCCGAAAGACGTTACCCAACGTCAAAAAGTCAGCTGATCGCAACTGTCTCCTGGACAACCTTATTGCTTCGCAAGTGTGTTTCTACTTTTCACTTTTCTTTGGCAGCGTGATCTGCCATTTCCAGCGTTATGGTTGCCGGAAAGTGAATTTTTCACTCTAATTTTTGGCATTCATTTATTTTCAATTGATACGTACAGAATCGATGTTATAATAAGAGTCCCTCCAAGAGAAAATATTGCGAACAAGCAGCACCGAATGTGATTTATTTTTGATTTAAATTTCATGTCGATAACGGAGCTTCTGGGAGACAAAAACAATTTGAGAACCTGAAAAATGTTCAAACAAGTGCTTGGTATAACTTATAAATACCACAATGTACTAAATAATGCGAAGAAATGTTTTTCATCGAAAATTATTAAAATATTGTCAGTAATGAATGCAATACTTGTTAATGTTTATTTACTTTGCTTGTTTGGTACCCCGCTGGACAGTTCGATTGTTACTTCTGGCGGGACTCTTATTATAACAATGACTCAGGATACGTAAAGAAACATCTTCTGGCACCCAAAAACATCCAAGAAACACAATCATAGGATGGCAGAGTGACATTGTGCGAACGTAATACAAAGAGCAACGGAAATTTTGCAAACATCTATAAACTGTATTTCTGGTTATCGTTGCATCTACGATCTACATTTGTTGTTCGAAACATATGCAGAGGATGTAATGAATTCAACCTTACATTGGATGTAAATTTATTGAGCTTGCACGAGCGGCAGATCAGTTTGTCGCAGTCACTTTCAGTAGAACAATATTTCGATTTTGCCGATAAAAAGATCTCCCTCGCATTACGCTACTATCGATAATAATTGTTCCTCTCCGAAGAGTACAGATGACCAGCTGTTGAGCGTAGATCAACGAGTGCACAATCATATTGGTCAGGATGTTTATCATTTGGCTGTGCTTCCGCTAGCAAACAGAAACAATTTCTCGACCAATTTATGGCATTCCTTGCTGCTGGATAAATACTGCGAACATATGACTGTTATTACTTTTTCGTGAACTGAACAACAAAACAACAGCAACGCCGCCACCGACCTCGAGCGGGAAGCAATCAATACCCTCAAATGCTCCCGTTTTGCTTTTTGCACTCTTTACCAGAATTGAAACAAACGTGCGGCCGCCATTAGTGCTCATTTGAGCTGTTTGCTTCCGGCTGCTAGTCGCCGATTTTAGCTTCATCAGCAAAAAAAATCAATGAACCACATGTTTCAAAACCGGCTCAGCACAGTGTGCAATTAATGTTCGCCATTCCTGAGCGTATCGATGATTAATAATTTTATAACACCACCCACCGCTGGTGCTCGTGACAGTCAACACTTTACACTGATTCAACACCTCGTCGCCATCAACTCACGCAATTATTGATTAAAGTCAACGGAACACAGCCCACCGAATCGTGACCCTTGCCGTCAACCTTCTCAGAATTTTCAGACTTTTTTGATGGTCATCACTTCCTGGCTCCCTGCCACCACCCTCCGACCGGTGAAGGATCATAACCTAGAACAATGGCCGTCCGCTGGCAATGTTAAAAATAAAATCCCAACCGCACTGTTGCGTCTTTGTTCGCAATCTTTACCGATGGTTGGCCAAATTGTAGGGTTCTTTGTTCTCAGCCAATGCTGGATACGAACCAATTGTCATCATCGCCATTCGAGAACATTTTTTCCAAACAGATCGATTTCAATTCTCTTACAAATTCGTTACGGATCGATCCGGATGAGAAACAGATTGACCGCAGCACCAGTAACCTGGCCTACGGCGCCTCTGATGCAGATCTGGAACGGGACTTGGTTAAACATTGTACTCGAAAAAAATGCAACAGACAAAAATTCATTGTAAGTCATATATTTTTAAAACTCTCAGGGAATAAATAAACACTTATTAGCTACGTTTTTGAAAATTTGGTTTATTCAACCTCCTCTCCTAGGCTAAATGCCCGCACCTTGGACTTAACGCTACCCATCAAATCCTGTACAACACTTGCGCCATCTGTTGGAGAGTAGCCCACCCCAAATTGGAAGAAAAGCGACCGAAGAATATTTCATCCCATATGGTACAGTAGGTTGAAATATTGACTGACACTATTTTCTTCGAACCATTTTTTTCCGTTGAATTTAATTATTTGTTGGCGGTTAGTTAAATATGATTCAAGCCATTTTAGAAGCCCTGACTCAATTCCATTTTTTGCAATTTAAAAAGTAGCATTGGTATGTCTATGCCTTGCTAAAGTCTGTATAGAGAGCTTCTACGTGGTTTCCGTCATCCATTGCATTCAAAGAATAGTCTATAAGTTCAAGTAAATTTGTCGAGGTCGAGCGACCCTCGAAAAAGCCGTGTTGCATGTCAGTAATTCTATTTTTAATTTGGAGAAATAATTTTTCGTTGACAATTGCCAATGCAACACAAATATCGAGATTACAGAATAAAATAATGCGTTTGATTTTGAGATGTAATAGATTCACTTCCTCATCTTTGATGCTAGATGCCTTACAATGGTTGTCGGTGAAGCAAAGAGTTGTATATTTGACTATGGTGTTCATTTTTAAAGTAGTTAACGGTTTGCTGCCTCGATATTTGTGTTTTCAATTGGATCAAGGGGGGAAGTGACTTTCATAGATAAAATACAAGAAACGCGGTTGAAGTAAGAACACCACATTTCTTGACTTGTTCTTTATTATATTATAAAGGAATAAATGTTTTCAATTCGATGCCTAGACATATCAAACGTTCAGCAACACTTACAGAATTTAAAAGACACTGCATTTCACCCGTCAAAACTGTCTTATGAACAGTTATGCAGTGATTTTTTTTTTTATGATTTGACAAATTATGCATCTT